ACCGATCCAGCATAATATGCTGGAAATTCATACACAGGTGCACCGAACTCCAGTATATTATGCTGGACCGGACTCTGTTGCAACAAAATAGTGGCTATTTTTCATTGACTTGGTAAACGCTGGCTATTTTTGAATGACCAGTCCGAAAACTGGCTAGACCGTGCTATTTTAACTAATTTGGCCTATAAACTTATTTTATTCTCTTTTTCCCTAGTAAACTCGAAGGATTATTTGTTGTTTCTTTTAGTATTCCTCCACTTCTTAACTCATTAAAAGTATTATTGGTCCCCTTAATCAGAAATAAAATGGGGCATTGTATCTCCGAAAAAATATGAGGTTATATGAAAAGGTTAGACAAATTATCACCAACACCATTTATAAATTATATTAACAACTATCTTTTTATAGAAGAGTAGATTTTTTCTAAAAATTCACATAGTTTAATTTTTCATAAAACTTTATGAAGAAAGTTTTGGAAAAAATTTCGTGCCTTTGTGTTGGATTATATTTTGTAAAAATTAATACGTTTTGGGAAATTTGTTGAAATGGAAGGAAGAAAGGTGATTTTTAATTTGCAAAATACAATATTTTCTAAAATCTTGAGTTGACCAGGTTTGATTTTAAAATACACATTTGTCATGTTGCTTTAATAAGTAATAGAAGAACCTTCATTTTGTTATCAAAGAAAAAGAGAGGAAGTTCATTCATAGTAAAAGCCAGGGGTGTACAAAGGAAACCGACAAACCACACCAACCCGATAATCCGAAATAAAACGAGAAAAAAATACCCGATTATGGTTTGGTTTGATTTGGTTTGGTGTTGGAAAAAAAACCCGACCATAATTGGTTTGGTTTGGTTTTAACTAAAGAAAGTCAAATCGAAACCAAACCAACCCGACATTATATATATAGAAATTTAGATATATTTAATATATAAATATACTTATTGTGATGTAATTTATAAACATTTCTTAAAAGAATTCATAATTTTATCTTTTGAGGTATTATTTCAAGGTTGGACTTAGAACTTTTGAATGTTTCAATAAGTTTTATAGCCATTAACATTAGTAAATTAAATAGTGCTAACAAAAGCCCAAACCAAAATCAAATCAATATTAATGCTAATAAAAGACATTCAATTCAATACTACGAACTGGAATGTATTGAATATCTATTTTTTGTTTTGTAATAATTTAGATAAAAATGCATAACCTATTTTTATTTTTTCTTTAGCGTTTAGTCATGTAATTAATACTCTTATTAGTCTACTTATTTTAGCATGACTTAGTACTTTAGATTATATTTATTTTTATTATGGCTTTTTAATTAGCAAAATTTATATTACATAATTTTATTGTTGAATATTTTAGGATAATGCCATGACATATTTCATATTTTGTATTATTTTCTTAAAAAACATTTATATAGTTGTATCTTACTAGGACTAAAGAAATATTTTGAGCACAATTTATACGTTTTGTTCTACGAAGATTTTACCGGAAAAAAATCCGAATAACCTGAAAATCCGAGAAAACCGAGAGCGAAAAACCTGAGTTTTATTGGTTTGGTTTGGTCTTTAAATTTAATAACCCGACACAATTGGTTTGGTTTGGTAATTGTAAAATCCGAACCAACCCGACCTATGTACACCCCTAGTAAAAGCACCCTCACATTTATGGCTAACATAAAATCAGCACCCCTACTTGCAAATATAAGCTGATAACTGATGGTCTTATTTAGTGCTGATTTTAAGATTGCATGAATAATTAATTATAAAGTACATTTTATATGAACCTTTTATAAAGCTACTAACAATTAACTTTAATTAAGCTGATTTCTTAAAAATTAGATATCGTTGTTGACTTAATATTTCATTGAAGTCTTAAGTTATAGTGTGTAATAAATAATTAATGTGTACGATTGCAGAAAATCTTTTAACGTTTTGGAATAAGCCAAATTTAGCAAATATTTCCAAGTAAGTGCTAACACACCTCATTATAATATGCACTAAAAAATGTGAATGGACATGGAATATTTTAAGTTCTAAATTTTTTTTTTTATCATAATATTGATAAAAGAAATACTCCTACATCAAATTTGCATTTCAACTTCTAAAAAAGAGTTATCATAAAGTAAATTTGTAAAAACAATTTCAACGAAAATAAGGAAAAAGGAGTTTGTTTGTGATAGAATCTAGGCTTGCATAAACAATTAAACCCTAGTTTCTAGAGAATTCGGAGAATGAAGAAAGGAGGAAGAAGAGAAGAAATTGATTTCTAATTTTGTTATCACTGTACGTTCCAATGCACAGTATTTAACTATCTTCTAACAGCTTAACTAATCACTCACGTGTGAATCACATGTGTGAGTGTGTATTGTCTAAAATGCCCTTCTTACATCCTATCTTTTAACTCTCAATACTCCCCCTCAAGCTGGAGGGTGGAATATATCTAACACACCAAGCTTGGATACTAAGAAACAATGTTGTGAAGTAGTCAATCCCTTTGTTAGGAGATCAGCTAACTGTAAAGAAGAAGAAATATAGCATGGATGTATAAGCCCTGCTTTGATCTTCTCTCTTACAAAGTGACAATCTATCTCGATATGCTTTGTTCTCTCATGAAATATTGGATTTCCAGCAATTTGAATGGCTGCCTTGTTGTCACAAAACATAGAAACAAGTTTAGACACTTTGATCCCCAAGTCTTCCAACATTCCTGTCAGCCATGTGATTTCTGCAGTTGCAGCTGCCATGCTTCTATATTCAGCTTCTGCTGAACTCCTGCTCACTGAGGCTGTTTCTTTGATTTCTATGAAATCAAGGAATTGCCTAGTTTCACGACATAACCTGTCACAGACCTCCTTGTGTTGAGGCATGATGCCCAATCTGAATCACTATATGCACTAAGTTGATTAATGGCTCCTGCTTCCATCAATAACCCCATTCCTGGTGCTCCCTTGATGTATCTCACCACTCCCAATGCTGCCTCTATGTGTGATTGTTTGGGCTTTTGCATAAATTAACTCAAGGTTTGTACTGCAAAGCTTATGTCAGGCCTAATGATAGTTAAGTATAATAACCTTCCTATCAATCTTTGATAAGCTGATTTGTCTTCTAACTCTGAATCTCCTGTCTTCCTAATGCATATGTCATATTCCACTATTGTCAATTTTTGATTCAGCTCTATAGGAGTTGCAATTGGCCTTGTACCTCTCAAACCTGTCTCCGAGATTAATTCCAAAGCATATTTTCTCTGATTGAATAGGATCCCCTTCTTTGATCTTGAGACTTCAATTCCCAGGAAGTATCTTAATGTGCCTAAGTCCTTAACTTTGAACTTACTATGTAAAATTATCTTGGCATCATTAATTAGACTGGCACAACTCCCAATAATTAGTAAATCATCCACATATATCAGTATAATGACCACCTCTTCTCCTTGGTGCTTTGTGAATAAGGAGTGATCAAATGCACTTTGTTTATAGCCATTTCGAATAAGTGCCTCAGTGAGTTTTATGTTCCATTGTCTGGGTGCTTGTTTGAGACCATAGAGAGATTTCATAAGCCTGCATACCTTCAACTCCCCCTGCTATTGAAATCCCTGAGGTAACTGCATATAAAACTCCTCATAGAGATCTCCTTGCAGAAAGGCATTGCTCACATCCATTTGATACAGACTCCATCCTTTTGTAGCAGGTATACTAATAATGGTCCTGACTGTGACCATCTTGGCTACAAGGGAAAAAGTGTTATGGTAGTCCAGCCCTTCTTTTTAATTATATCCTTTTACAACCAGCCTTGCCTTGTATCTTTCTACCTGTCCATTAGCTTTGTATTTGATTTTGTATACCCATTTTGACCCAATGGCCTGCTTCCCAATTGGTAAGTCCACTATCTCCCAAGTGTGATTGTCCTCAAGTGCTTTGATCTCCTCCTTCATAGCTGCAACCCATCTGCTATCATTGGAAGCCTGTTGGAAAATGCTGGGTTCAACTTCAACTGAAAAGGCCTCCAAATATGCTCGATAACCTGTTGATAGATTAACATAAGTCAAAGTATTAGATAAGGGGTATAGACAGCAACCAGTGAACTTCTTGGTGGTCTGATAATCCTTTAGTCAAACTGGAGGCTTTGATATTCTTGTTGTCTTCCTAGAACCTTGATCATTAACAGGTTCCAGCCTGTTTGTGTGAAGATCAACAACAATCTATGGTACATTGCTTGGGAGCAATTCAGATGAAATATCTTGCACTTCATGTTCACCTACAACTGCTGCTATATTTGGAGTTGTAGAATTAGTATCCAGTATTTTTGCAACTGGCATATTGACATCTCCTATGACTAGATTATTGTCTGTGGGTGGAATAGGGATATCTGTGGCTATAGTGGGGTATGATTCTTGTGAATCAGTAGTTGAAACTGATGATGAGTAATCAGGTTGTAATGGCACAATTGTTTGGGTAAGAAAACAGTCTTCTCTAGTAGTTGTATTTTCTCTGAAAGGAAAGATATGTTCTCTAAAACTAACATCTCTGCTTACAAAAATGGAGTTAGTTTCCAAGTCAAACAATCTATATATTTTCTGAACTTCTGAGTACCCTATGAGGACTGATTTCCTTGCCCTATTTGCAAACTTGTCTCCCTTTGGCAAATTACTAGCAAAGCATAAACACCCAAACACTTTCAAGTGATCAATAGTAGGTAGTTTGTTATATAGAATCTCATAAGCAGAATTTTCATGTAATAAAGATGTAGGCCATTTATTGATCAAGTATACAACAATTTTAATACAGTCTCCCCAGAACCTGCTAGGAATAGAACTCTGAAAGCTTAATGCTCTAGCTACTTCAAGTATATGCCCGTGTTTCCTTTCCACCACCCCATTCTGTTTGGGTATGTAGGGACAACTGCTTTGATGCATAATACCTAAAGATTCTAATAACTCATTGCAGCTAGAATTAAAAAACTCTTTCCCATTATCAGATCTTAATACTTTCACATTCATGTCAAATTGGGTTTTTACCATTATAAGAAAATCTTTCAGCACTGTTACAACTTCAGACTTTGATTGCAATAAGCACACCTAGGTATACCTACTAAAATCATCCACAATTGTAAGGAAATAATGGTTTCTATCATATGTAGGCAATTTGTGAGGACCCCAAACATCAAGATGAATAAGCTGGAAAATACAATTAGTTTTACTGCTGCTAAGAGGAAACTTCAATCTGCTTTGCTTAGCTAAAGGACACAATTCACAGTTTTGCTGTAGACTATCTACTGCTATATTCTTCAAGGCAGAAATATGCTTCATTACCATTATTGATGGATGTCCTAATCTCATATGCCAAAGACTGCTTTTATCATTCCCTTTGGTAACCATTGCTGCTATAGGCTTCTCTCCCCATATAAAGTCCACAATTCTCTCTACCAATCCCCATCACCTTCCCATTGTAAAGACCCTGCAACACACAAAAATTAGGGAAGAATAGGGCACAACACCTCAATTCCTTGGTCAATTTGGAGACTGACAACAACTTAAACTTAAAATCAGAAACATATAAGACATCCTTCAATTCACATCTTCCTAGGATAGATGCATTTCATTTGTGTGTTACTGAACATTTGCTACCTGTTGGAACCTGCACTTTGTGGTTGCTTTGTTGACTAATATTCTCTAAATTAGATAAGATCTCCTTATTACATGTAATATGATGAGATGCTTCTATATTTGTTATCCACTCACATAGAGATATATTGGACAATAATGTGGTTATACCTGCCATAAGTGCCTGACAATCACCTGCAGGTGTTTTGTTCAAAAGATCTAATATTTGCTTGTACTGGCTTTCTGTAAAAAATTGTCCAAGTTGTCCTTGAGAGGAACCTGCAGTCTCTTCTGAAATCATGTTAGCATAAACTTTGTTTCCTTGGCCCTGTTGTTTCTTCTTGCTTTTAAAATCAGGAGGATACCCTATGATTTTGTAACAATTTTCCTTGAGATGTCCTTTGTATCCATAATGCTCACAAACAATCCCAATCTTCTTAGCTTTATAGCCTTGATTCTGTCCTGCCAGCATAGTCAAGGGTTCCCTATTCACTTCAAGCACACCTAACTCACGTTGGCTTTCCTCTTGAATAACCAAAGCATAAGCCTGGTTTACAGTTAGCACTGGTGTTTTCAGTAATATCTGGCTTCTTACTTGGCTATAGATTTCATTAAGTCCAACTAAGAATTGCAGTAAACGTAAATTCTTAAACTGTTCAATGAAAGGTCTCGTCTCTTCACAATCATAACCTGGTGTTGGAACTAACAGATCTATTTCATCCCAAAGGTCTTTCATTTTTGTATAGTTCGATGCTATAGAATCAGTACCTTGCTTTAGCGATCCAATTTGTATCCACAGAAGGTAAAAACGAGTAAGGTTAGATTTATCAAACCTCTCTTTGAACTCATTCCATATTGTCTTTGCATTTGATGCATAGATGATACTCGGCTGTAATTCTGCAGACATTGTGCGTCCTATCCATGAAAGAACTACTGTGTTGCATCTTTCCCATTGATTCGCCAATTCTCCTTTGTAAGAGCTTTTCAAGCAGGTTCCTTCAATGAACCCTAGCTTGTTCTTCACCAAAAGTGCCATCCGCATCGATCTGCTCCACAAACCATAATTTTCAGGTCTGGTGAACTTCATATCGTGCAATGCAACTCCAGGTGTGTCTGTAGATGCTAAAAATAGAGGATGATTTTGATCAATCTAAAGACTCGCTGTTTCTCCCATGGCCGATCAAATTGAAGCTTCTAACGGTGTTCAATGTTCAGATCTTACAGAGTCACATCAACCCGCTCTGATACCATGATAGAATCTAGGCTTGCATGAACAATTAAACCCTAATTTCTAGAAAATTCAGAGAATGAAGAAAGGAGGAAGAAGAGAAGAAATTGATTTCTAATTTTGTTATCACTGTACATTCCAATGCACAGTATTTAACTATCTTCTAACAACTTAACTAATCACTCACGTGTGAATCACATGTGTGAGTGTGTATTGTCTAAAATGCCCTTCTTACATCCTATCTTTTAACTTTCAATAAAGAAAAAGAAAGCTTTAAGAGAAAATAACTTTACAAAATCTTTCAGCCTGACCAATTTATACATTAAATAAACGAAAATCTTAAGAATACTTTTTTCTCTTGAGAAAAAGATGCGTAATTAATAAATGATAGAAAGGAGAAGGGGATTGGATGTCAGTTAAGCTTGGGCCCATGCTAGCGCGAGCCTACTTTATAATTTGCAAAGGAACATGTCACTCAAAAAGCACTTTATGAACGGTGGATATCACACTCAATAAATATATATTTAAGAAAATTTTATAATCTTAGGAAAAAACGCTCAGTTGAGTTTCAATGTTTTTAACTTTTAAGTGGAGGAAAATAAAAGAACAAGAGAAATCTCAATATCTCGTTGCAATAATGGAAACTATGCAAGTTCCATTAATCTTTCACTAACCGTTTCAGCCAAAACAAGTGAAAGTTTAAGTAATCGAGAAACTACACTTGATTAAGAAAATTCTTTCTCTTTGGATTGCGTAAAGAAAATGAAATTCTGATTAATGGAATTGATTTCCTTGTTTAATATCCTGCCAAATTCTTGGTTATTTTTTGCCAAAATAAGGGAAATTGTAGTAGCAGAAAGCATAAAATTGCACTACATTCAATGTTTTTGTGTCGTAAACACCGTATTGGAAATATCTAATCACATAAATGAAAAGCTTTGTTTTCTTATAAACTTCTGTGTTCTAATCAAGTACCTAATAAATTGGTATGAATTCAAAAATACGGAAATTAAAATTCTTAGGTTTAAATAGCTGTTAGTTAAAGAATTGATGAAATAATGAAATTTGCATTTGAGTAGAAAGTACTTATGATCGAAAGAGAAATTGTGAATTTTATGTTTGAGCAGAAAATATTTATGATCGAAAGAATTATTAGAGGAATTGTTATACAGAGAAAATCCTATGCTAGCTAAATTCTATGTTTTATTATAATACAAGCTTCATTATCCTATGACCTAATTCTACATTAATCTGTCTAAAAGTTTAAATATTTCCAAAAATGATAGTTTTCTCGAATAATTTAAAATGATATATAATTATATTCTTTTATATTATTTCAGATGTGAGGTGACCTTTTTACAAACTTATCAACTATTTCACAGACAACTAGTCTTTTAATAATTTTATTTACACTAATGGTAAAGAAAATGGACTTTGTGATAACACTAAAAACTAGCTCATGAGATAAATATTGTTTGAGATAATATAAGAAGATAACAACTCTTTTTTTAAACCAATGTAGGATATTCTAACAATCTTGACATGCCGCGGAGGGAAGAACATCATCTTGATGTTCACTAAATCGCTTGTCTAGCCTATGCTTTGAAAGCCTGCATAGGGTACAAGATTGGAAAAAAAAAACGAGAGGAAGAATCGACGAGAAGAGTGTTCTCGAAGAGAAAACTGAGATTGAAAAAGCGTTAGGAGAATTCTAAACTCGAGATGTTAGAAGATGCAAAAGCAATAAGTGCCAAAGCTAATATAATTGCTTTAGCGAGAGCTGCTATCGGTATTGAAAACGTCCTTATTTCTTCGGTTTATTCCATGGTACGAAATCCATCATGGGCAAATAATTATTTGGTTAGATGAAAAATATAGGATTAGGACCCAACATTGGATAAACAGAAAATATGGATGGTATGCCTTTTCATTCATTTCCAAAAGTCAGCTCATGAAGCGAGATCGAATTAACCAAGACCATGTATCAAGTCATTAGCTCATTCCCTACACTAATATGGGACACTCTAATAATTTTGGATAATTTATTTAAGTATCACTTTAATCCAAATTTTTATGTAGATGAAATGGCTGGTAAGAAAATAAAAAGAAGGAAGAAGAAAGAAATAGATTTTACTTTAATAGAATGCATACAATATGATATTTTATTTACTTAAAAACTTTCCAAAAACAACAGAATTTGCTTGGTGGGTAATGCACATGCATTGAACATTAAAAAACAACAAATGGAAACTAAAACCAAAGTTGATAAAGGGAATACACAAAAAAACACACATGGGGGCACCATGTTATGTTCTGAGAGTTTAGAGAATGAATGAAAAGAGATAAGATTGAAAATGTTTTTAATAAAAAACACATGATACCTTCACTATGTCTTTTGTGCATTACATGTGATTTGGTTCAATCCTATGCTTACTTGTACACCACATACTCCAAATAAAGTAGGAGAATTACATTTAACATGATTATAATTAATTGCATGAGGAATATGCAATTATGAAAAGGGTTCGGTGGATGAGGTTACATCATACAATGCCCCCTCCCCGCTCCCCCGCACCCNAGGATGGTGAGAAGAGACATATTTTACATTCTAGAGGGGCTATAATTGGAGATACCATTGTTTCTGGTACAGAGGTTCCTATAAAAATGAGAAATGCTCTACCTTTGAGTGTGGTTTGAACTATTGATTTACGTAATTGGAAATAACCAATTAGGTTTACGACGAAACCTAGAAATCGATCACTGATCCAATTTGAGTATCTCTGCAGGATAGACCTCAACAGAAAATGGAAGAGTAAAGGCAACAAGTGATTGAGTTCAGTAGTTCCTCATATAAAATTATTGACTCTAGAGATATAGTAATATGGAGAAGATAAAATTATTTCAAGCACCGACAAAACCGGAAAATCCCCTTCTTTCAAAGAGAGGAGGACAGGTTATTCACATTTCATTTGATGGTCAGAGGCGAATTGAAAGTTAAGCAGTGAGAATTCTAAAGATTCCTCAAGGAAAAAATAGAGATGTTTTCTATGTCACCCATAATATATGGAAGTATCGACATAATTTCATAGAGTCATTCGGTCTAAATACTACATGGAGAACATAAGCCAGATGACAAAACGGGAAGACCCAGAATGTAGAAGATCATAACATGAGTGATTCGGCATATATATATTCATATATATATCCACCCATGTGGTACTTCATTCTACGATATATATAAGATCCATCTGTATAGATATCATCATCTACATCCAGAAAGCCGTATGCTTTGGAAGAAGCTTGTACAGTTTGGGAAGGGGTTTTGATTGATCAAAAGAAGAATCTACTTCAACCGATATGCCCTTAGGCACGGCCATACATAACATAGAAATCACACTTGGAAAGGGTGGACAATTAGCTAGAGCAGCGGGTGCTGTAGCGAAACTGATTGCAAAAGAGGGGAAATCGGCCACATTAAAATTACCTTCTGGGGAGGTCCGTTTGATATCCAAAAACTGCTCAGCAACAGTCGGACAAGTGGGGAATGTTGGGGTGAACCAGAAAAGTTTGGGTAGAGCCGGATCTAAGCGTTGGCTAGGTAAGCGTCCTGTAGTAAGAGGAGTAGTTATGAACCCTGTAGACCATCCCCATGGGGGTGGTGAAGGGAGAGCCCCAATTGGTAGAAAAAAACCCACAACCCCTTGGGGTTATCCTGCACTTGGAAGAAGAAGTAGAAAAAGGAATAAATATAGTGATAATTTGATTCTTCGTCGCCGTAGTAAATAGGNCTGTTAGGCAATGAATGATAAGTAAAAGATTAGAAAGCAAGATTATAGCTTAGAGACGATATGACAATTGAACCAAACAGCTGGAGATCGGGGCCTCGAGATGTCGTATATGAGGCCTCAGGGTCGAGTTGGGCGGCCGGCTTAGAGCGATCGAGGGAGGACTAATAGCTATGAGAGCTACGATGATGACTCTTTATGATCAATGATAAGTAATAAATGATGAACAATAAATAGAACACAATGAATGTAAGCAATAAATGGAAGTAACGAGATCAAGAGAATATGTTAGAGAGCAGAGAGAGTATTCTTGTGTATTTAGTGTTGAGCAGCAGAACCTTACAAAATGACAAGGATCCCCTTTATATATGAGGGGAATCCTAGTATGGTACACGTACATTTATTACAAAGATATGAGGTTGATACAACTATTTAATGCCTTGGTAGGGTGCATGTCAACCTGCCAACTCCCATTTAGTGCCCAGGGAACTCCCCACTTTTCTATGGCCGTCGTCGAACCGTATTGTCTCTAAGTCAAGCATTTTAGAGACTCTACGAGATCACACTTCGAGCCCTTCCTCGGGCTTTAAGAGGCACATCTTTCGAGCCCTAAAATGATCAAAAAATCGGTCCCTCAGATTTTGCCGTATACAGATAGTCACCCGCGTTTTCTAGAATAAGATGATGGGAAATAGTTTTGAATTTTTGCACTCGCCATGACGTCAGCCAGTCAGGGCATTAAATGCCGTTATTCAACGGCCACGTAAAGGTCATTGTCAGCATGACTATTGAAGAACTATGAACCGCTATTGGCTATTCTGCTGCCCATGCGGCTTCTATAAATACCCCAATTGCTTAGTGACTCTCACTTTAGTGATTCCTTCAAGCTTTCGGAGCCAGATCCATCTTCCTCTATGCCCCTTTTATCTTGTGCTATTTGTTTCCTGCCTTCCTTCTAGAGAAAAAGAAATTTTTTAGTTACGAAGGCCAGAACCTTTAAGACGGTGCCTCGGAAAGACAAAGCTGCCTCTTCATCCCGAGTATCCAAGAATAAATCCAAAGGAAATCCCAAAGTGGCTCCTACCGTCAAACAATGTACAACCACCGAGTTTGATAGTATGAAGGATTTTCCATCGAGAGACCTTCATCTATGTCGGGCCGATGCGAACATGTGTCCCAGTTCATTAGCATTGTGAACGATATAGACAGAGAGCGGGCTGACTGTCAATGGGGGAAGAAAGTGCTGGTTGAGATCCCTAGACCTAACGAGAGCATAACAGACCATAAGGCCAATTTTCTTTATGTATATACATACCCGTTCACCTTGGGCCCTGTCGACTCCTCGAACCCTTCTTCTCTGGCTATAGACCTGGTCATTCTCGACTTCTGCTGTAAATACCGGGTGACATTGGCCAAATTTACCCCTGTTTCTAGAGGATAGTTTACATGTTTCTCCTACTTTTCCAGCAAAGTCAAGGATACGACTTTTATCCTAGATCATCTGATCAGGCTTTACAGCCCCTGTCTTTTTCGAGGCTTGATCAAGCTTCACACTCGATCTTTGAAACCCTTTTTCTCGAGTATCGATGAGCATAAGAATCGTGGGAGGATGAGCCGATTTGTCCGAGTGAAGACCTCGAACATTATTATAGCTAAATGGATGTTGTTCCCGGAGGAGAAGAACATGAAGCGTAAGTGCTTTTTCTTTGAGCATGCTTTATTTTCTTCTTACCTTCTTCCCAA